AACAACCAGAAATATCCTATTTGATCTTAAGCTTACACGACTTAAATCTGTGAGCTGTTCAACCCTTTTGTGCCGGGTATATATACCGGGACCCGTATATATACGGGCCCCGGCGAAGGGTTAAGCAAAAAGAGAAAAAAAGCTTTGATAGTTTTACACTTTCACAAAAGGTTTTCATACATCCTTTGTAAAACCTCAAGGTCCAGAAGTTCCATATTTTTAGAAAAAAGTTTAATCCATTATCAGGCAGAGTGACCGTTAGCTAGACAGGTCGCAGTTATAAGGTCGTAGTTATTAAGACTTGAACGTTTCTTTCATACTGGACTTGAACGTTGACTTGGCTTGGACTTACGATTTTGAAATATGCGTTGGTTTTGAATTTGAGCGTTTTTTACTCAAGTGAGTTTCTACTAAGATTGTACAGAAGTAGAATGACGAAACTACATTCTCTCATTTATCTTTACGAATATGTAATTTTAGTTTATTAGAATAGAGCAAATGTTTTTTAAGAATTGTCACCAAATATTATCGATTTCTATTCTGCCACATGGATGTGTATTTAAAAATAGGAGCTTGTAATTGTTTTAGACATGCCATAGAAATAGAACTCAAGAAACAAAAAACAAAAAAGAATAAAACAAAATAAAATAATGGAAAATGGTTCGGTGATGGATCTTAGTTGTTTGGCGGACTTCGAGTTGGCTTATATTCGATAGACTTCATGTCTAATGTCATGGTTTTTTCTCCATTTTCTATTGACTCTACTCAGTTGCTACTTCTCCTTCATTAGACACGATCGAGAAATAAATTAACGGTACATTTTCCACTTGTTCACGTCTGAGTATCACGTGTTATCACGTGTGTATCATCCAAAAGTAATTGGACACATATCAAACATTATTTCTGCATGCTCTCGATATGCTAAAGAGTAAAAAAAAATTCCACTGGAAAGAGCGAAGTTCAAAAAACATCGAAAACAAGATTTTCGTGATTGAGTTTGAGCAAGAATATAAATGTCAAACGTCGCAAAAAAAGCTCTTGTAATTTTCGTAATTTTTAAACGTCTGTCTCATTAAGCTTTTTTTCCCCATACCAAAATACATTTGTAATTTATTTTATGTCATTATCGAAACTAAAAATGTTTTTATGTTTCTTTCGAACGGGTTATGACAAAGCATGCTTTGATCCACTTTTCAACCAACAATTGCCTCGCTTTTGATTAAATTCAGAAAAACAGTTCTTCAGCCATAATCAATCATTTACGTATGCTGAATGAATTTCTTTCTTTTTCTAAAATACATTTTGTGAAACAGAGAAAACTCTGTTTTCATATGTACCTTCCACACTGTACATTCAAGCGGATATTTAGCAAAAAATCAAAGTGCTCTGTTTTTCAATGTAAGTATAAAACCTATACCTCAAGATATGGGACATAAATTCTAAAAAGAATTTTTGTTCTAACAGATCAAGATCATGAGAAAATACTTAGGCCAAAGTTAACCTGAATACATTGGGGTGCGGTAAAATAACAGTCAACCATGTCCAAAAAAAAAACGACTTAGATTATGAATCTAGACTCTATTTTGGCTAAATTTTGTCAAAGTGTTCGTTTATATACAACACGTCTATAATGCATGAAATTTAATACAATTCCCTTCCTAGTTATAGGGTTTCTAAAAATAAGGTCGTTTTTTTGGAAACCCTGGTCAGGTAAAATCTATTTTTCTCAGTCCATCAACACTTTTGGGAAAAAATAAAGTCAAATTTGGAACCAACATTAAAACTTTAGAAGTACATACACATTCTTTTTATAATTTGAATTACGAAAGTATGCAAAGAAGCTGAAATAGAGTATATTCTGCATGTATAAAGTGTTCTGAGTGAGTTATGAATATTTCATTTTTGCTTGAAAATATAGTAGAAAATGGGTTATTTCATCGAAAGTAGATTTGAACAAAATTATTAAAATTTTTAATGAAGATAAACATTGCTACACATATCGGCGGACATCTATAGTCCACCTTCTTTATTTATTTGAGACTCTAAGAGCCCTCTTACACTAGTGCATGACCTCCCGGAAAATCTGATTCTAGGCTAGGTAAACTATCGAACATAAGAGCCTCACTTGACGACTATTTTGAAGAGAACGCTTTGTGATATTGATTCATGCGAAAAAGCAAATATGTTGTGTTTTTAAACTTTAAAAATTCCAAATAAAATTCTAGAGATTCTCTCAAAATTCTACATTCGACAGAGATTTTCAAACTTTTTTTCTAAAGAAAAGACAATTCTAAGCTGTCGCTATTGAACGACGAAGACAGCAAGCATTCATCCACCGCTCTTCTCTCAAAAAATTATTCAAAAAGCAGTCGTATTTGTTCTACTTCAAAATGGACAGTAACTAGTTATCTATAAATTTTATATTGAACTTCATGAAAAGTTTTTGCTCAAAGTTATAATAAATTTGTAAATTGTTATACTTGATAAAGTATTATTGATATTTCGTATCATTGCGAGCTATATATGCTTAGTTGTGAGAAAATAACAGTTTGCTAAAGAATTTAAAATACTTTTTAAACTAGTCAATCTATTTTCATTCTAACCTAAGTATAAAATTTCATGTTAGGTCGTTTAAACCGTCTGAAAAATGTTGGCCATTTAACGATGAAAATTTACAGACTTCTTCAATAACAATATACAACAGATAAAGAAGTATAACGGATGAAATCTATGACATGTGAAAATTTTTTAGTAATAGTTCAAGAAACCCAATTCATATGGAAAATATTTATCTCATTTTGTTTGAATGGTATGTTGACGACGGAACAAATTGTTAGAATAATACCAGGATAACCCTAACGTAGCTCAGTTGTTACGCAAAGCTTTCGAATGTGTATCGTACGGTATATGAAGGATAAAGGTAAGTTCATATGTGAAGAGTCTCACTGACAACTATCTGCAAGGACAATATGCATCAACATCTTTGCAGAGTTAATGACACGTTCGATTCACTTTTCAAATTTTCTTCTAATTCAATAACACGATGTATGAAGTGTAAATATATAAATATGTATAGCTATTAGTCTAAACGTACGATGCCACATCGTCTCTTCTCTTCTTTCTCTCTATCATCTATCATATTTTCGACAAATGGATGATGTTATCATGACGAACACATCTTCTTCACTTATAATTGATATCATGATGATCTTTACTTACCATAAAGAACAAAATGCAAGCAATTAACAGATTTGTAACAGAAAAATAGAGATTAGTCATCATATCTATTAAACAACAATTAAACCGTAATTTACCAACTAAAATAACACATTAATCATTTTTAGAGAAATAGAACGAGACAGAGAAAATAACAAACTGATTTAAAACGACGTGTCAAAAGCTCTTAAATCTAATCAAGGTAAACTCACTTTGAGCTCCCCTCGAAAATAATAGAGACTGCAGTCTTTAGTCTCACACTTTTTTATTGGTATGATCTATTGATGGTAGTAGCATTATGAAGAAATAAAATACGACTAATTATCTATCCATGGCAAGCTTCATTAGAATAGAGCCTACACTTATTCAGATCAAAAATTCCAAATGTGAATAGTTTTAGCCAAAAGGTGTGGGATTTTAGATGTTTAAAACTAAGACAAATATTTTCGAAGCAAAATTAGTCAATTTCTCCAAATTATAAATAAATTTTTCTCTTATAAACAAAGTAAAAGTAAATATAAGAACTACTTTCATCATAATAAAGTTTTTGCACAGAAAATCTAGCACACAACTATAAGAAGATAAATCTTTTCTTAAGAGAATCATTCTATTCATATTGTTTTTACAAATTCTACTGTTTATAAGTAGATGAGATATAGAATTACAACTTCAAAGGATACATACTGTTCTATTTAACTTTTTGACGAAAAATGAGATAAATTGTCAAACGGCGCATTCCACAATGAGACAAATATCACTCATAAAAAGTGGGACACATTACAAGCCTGCATAAGAAGCAAATTTGTTTGTTTGTCAATTATAATCTATAAATGGCTGAACATGTATGCAGTATTAATCATCTAAATAGAAAAAACCTTTAAAACAAAACTATTACAGATAGAATATGGTATTGAGCAAAGTGATATCTATGTAACAGAATACAATCAATTGATTAGGAGTGGCTTAAGAATCGATTATACTGACATTTATCTATGTTTTGACAAGTGCACATTATAGACAATGGAATTTTATTATTAGTTCAAACTTTTCTTTAAAGGCTTTCGAAAGTAAGAGTAAATTTGGTATGTATGTTATCATCGAACATTCTAAAAATACGCCAAATTTTATTATATTCTACTATAAATAACAAAATATAATAATGTTTTTACTGAGTAAAAAAAATGTGTGCCCGCCCAATTAAACGTAAATTATACGCCATCAATTGAGCTAATTTGCTCAATGATAACATATTATCTTTCACTAGATACTAGTATTCGTATCTCTTGTATTTTAGTCAAAACAATCATCCGATTTGGTGTTCACTCTCCTTCTAATTGAATACGAGTTTGACATCAATTTACAAATCTTAAAAAATAATTTATTAACATTCATATTCATATTAATCTAATGTATATTGCAATTGGAAATCATTCTTCCTGTTTCTTTTTTTTTTTTTTGAATAAAGCTGCCAATGAGAAGAAAAATACATGTTCATCATAAGAAAAAAAAAATAGAAAAAAAAAAATCAACGAAAAAATATAAAAGAACGTAACGATATTGCTTCTTTTTCGAACGGATTAAAGCGAACACAACGATCAAAAACGATAATCGATCGATTTTTTTTTTAGTGCAATAAGCAAAAGAATAGATGATATCTGTAGGAAAGACAGTCTATGCGTCAAGTCATTTTCAATAACAATCATTATTATATGAACAAAAACGAGATCTTTTCGAGACTTCTAATCTAACATAACACCATCATATATATTGAGTACAAATAAATATTAGCTATATAATTTATAGATCATTGACTGTGTTCCTGATGAATCAGCTATTTCAAATACATAGCCCAAATATAACAGTATTTCATGAGTATCTTTCACCGTGACCGTCTAAAAAAAATGAAAAAAAAAGTTACTATACATAAATTTTAGATTGAGAGTCTCTTCTTCTCCTCACATATATCATTTTAGTCTATGAATATCATTATCTGTCAGAAACAACTAGAAAAATTATATTCAACCTACTTGAAGTATGGTAAAATTTTCCAATACATGATTCATTAATTCTCGTGATGGTAATTCATTTTTTAGTTTTCTAATAAATCCAACCATAAAATCACACATTTTTGTATCATCCGATTTATAAATATGTTTTCCATTTTCAAATTTTGTTTTACCATCCTATCAAGTAAAAAAAATAAAATAAATAATTATGTTTTATGAGGAAGAATACAAAAATGAACTTTTTTTTTTTACCTCCACTTTTTCTGCAACAGATTTTCCAAATGAACATGCTTTCGTTGTTATATCAATTTCAATTGTTTCTGGACTTTCAAATCTATATGGACAAAGATATAGTTCAGTTATAGAACAATAAAGTTGAATATCAACTTACAAAACAAAATGATTGTATGTTTGATTATCTGCTTCTTGATAATTCATATTAGCCTAAAATTGATATAGAAAATATGAGATTTGTTAGTCAATAGTGAGAAAAAAATAATAACTACCCAAACTTTGATTAGATAAAATGCATCGTCCGGTCCTTTATCATATAAATCTTTCAAACTTCCATCACGATTAGGAAATTTATCAACAACGACGTCAATTTTTATTTTCTAAGAAAGAATATTACAGTAAATCTTTGAATGAATCTATTTGTTAAAAATTTTATTTACTTCTGGCATTGTTTGAGTTCCAGCTGCTTGACTAACATGAAAAAAATAATGTCTGGAATTCTAAAAATGAGTATAAATAATAATAAAAATTTTCATTTTCATTTTATATAAAATTAAACATACTAAATCTGAATCTTTTTTTTGTTCAATATATCCAGTAAATTCAACAAGTTTCAAACGATTTGTGCCAATAAAACGAGATGTCCAAGATGTGGTGGCTGTTGGAACTAGTAGATCACTTGATGAAAAACTTTGCGGAGAATAAGACGATTGAGAAAATGGTTTAACACTAATAGAAAAATAAAATAAATAAAAATCATAGAAGAACACAAATAGCAATTATTATTTAAGTATAGTGTAGTTTTAAACAGAAGCAGCGAGTCATACTTTGTAAACATGTTCGACCTTAAGTTTAAAGTTTCAAAGAAATTATGATAAATCTAATTTTTCTAATAAATATAAGATAAACTTACTCCGTATATGGACTATTTGATTGCCAGACAGCCTATAGTAAGAAAACAATGATTTATTATCTAAACTAATTATTTTATAGTTTAGATTTTTATACCGATTGTGATGAATATGCTGGTATAAAAGGTGATAACGGTGATGTTGATGGTGAAAATAGTGGATTCATTGCACGATGATGATGATGAAAATATGGTTCGGCATGATGATGAGCAATACCATTTAATGTTGAAAATGCACGATGATCTTTTGTCGATGGATCCTGTGACATAGTAAATACACATATTTTAGATGGAAAAATCGTTTATTTGAACTATTTATAATTTTATATTTAAAACATTTTTTCAACTTACTTTGAGCATGGTTTGTATTTCTTTTGCTTTTCGTTTTGCTAACACTTGTATATGACTTGATACTTGTTTTCTTGTGCGAGATTTTCCTGTACGCATTTTGATATACCGTGATATTAGTTCATTTCTACCGTACATTTTCCCTTCTTCAGATAATATAATTTTTCTTCTACCACACGGTGGATAGATGGCAAGTGCTTCCTAATAAATATCAAAATTACTTAACAAATCTGTGAGCTTCAGACTAAAAGAGGAAACTATACACCATTTTTTTATGTACTAAAAATCACATGTTTTCACAATGTTGCAACATCCTAGACACTGTACATGTTATTAATTAAATGTACAACATAATGTATATATTCTCGAATTATCAAAAGGAAAAGTTTTTTCTACGCACATGAAAACTTTGTTCAATATCGGGACTCCAAACACCTTCGGCATCATTTCCACAATCATCATTATCTTCATTAGTCGATGTACTTTCTTCCGATTTAATACTGCAACTTGTTGTATCAAGGTCTTTTAAATGAGACCAAGTTGAGGTCATACTAAATAGAAGATAGTCAATATATTGCAAGTGTAAACAAATATAAAACATTTAATTATAACTAACCAAAATGTTTAAAATATTTTAAAGAACAAAAATACATTGTTACACACATAACAAATACACACACTTCGTAGGCTGAATGATTGAATTTTTAGATTATTGTATGTGGTGATCAAAAATGACCATCATCACACGTTACATAATGATTTAAAGGAAAAAAGTTAATTCGATAAAACAATAAACGACTCTCTCTCTCTCTCTCATCCACATGTAAACAAGATTGAAATGAACAAACAACAAGGAGCTTAATAACAAACGCTAACAATTCAATTTTTTTACTACTACTACTACTCATATGGAGATATGTGGTAAAATTATTGTTTATATAATTCTTCTTTTTTGACATATGTGTGCTGGACGTACACTACTTGAATGAATATTACGGAACAAATATGATTGAAAACAAATTACTTTTTCTTCTCTCGATTATAATGAAACAAAAACTAAAGAAGAGAATCAGAACAAGATGATATATGTAAATTATTAATTGACACGTGTGAGAACATGTCACGTAATTAATATCCAACATATACATCATCTATACAGGTTAACGATAATGACATAATGTATATGATTTAATTTTATAGACACAAAAAAAAATTCACTATGTTAATATTAAATTTGTTATCGATATAAGTTCGTTTTATGGCGTTTGAAAGGAAACTGTTTTAGAAGAGAATAAAGATTGCTATGACTGTTGAAATGTCACACACTTAAATAAAAAAGAATACTTTATGCTTAAAGATTTGCTACTCTTGGAAAATTAAAGCGTTGATAGTCTTTTGATGATGATGTTTCTGAGAGACAGACTACAAAACCTTAGATTAAACTGTTAACAATTCTGATAAAAATCAAACGATGGCAAACAAATAGGATCTATTTTGCCTAACTCATTCGTAGCCACAAATATCGGGAGGGTGCGCATCCCCCGAATACTTGAAAATGCTGTTATTATTTTATCAATTATTTCTCGCCTTAATTTATCTTAGAGAGAAAATTTATTTTATAGCCCCCTAATGTTTGGTTGCTATTTATGGTTCTGCGTAGCCGTATATTTACGTATAGGACCAACACAATCATATACTCCTCTAACCCTAACTCTAACCTAATCTTACTTGCCTATCTCACTCGAGACGATTTGGTCCTGGCGTTTCTGCAGTTATATGACTCCTATACTCACTCTTCAACCCTCCTAATCTTCAGTTCTACAACTTCTGGCGTTCAAAGCTTGTAGATATTCAAGTTTGTATTTCATAAGTTACAAATAGCTTCAAAAAATTCATATAAGGAAACAAAATTTTAGAATACCATAAGAAAAAAAGAAAATAGAGTGAATATCGAATTATATCGTAAGATACTTTCAATTTTTGGGACAATTAATAGAAAAAAGCATACAATAAAAAATGTATAGCATTCTAATTTACCTTCTATACATGATAATGGAGAACTATATCATTTAAGATTAAACGGCGACATCGACGTATAGGAAGATTTTAATCGATATATCTCAGTAGATAGTGACAAAAGCTTTTAGTTAACTGTTCGAGTTATTATCTCAATCAAACGAAGTGTGCCTAATCAATCTATATCTAAATTTGACATAAAAGAGACTTACTTGAATCGTTCTATCATACTTGCCATATCATCGACAATGTTTGCGTTTTATATTACGTTTTTTGGTAAGTATAACACTTTTTTTTGATAACAACTTTGATTATTGATAACAATGATGATGAGCTATCTCTTTTCTCTCGATATATATGTCCATCACATCCTCGTTGTTATTATTATTATTATTATTATTATTAGTTTTTTTCAGCACCGAAAATAAACAGACATTCTATGTTGGAATATGCACGGATGAAATAGTTCCGCTATCACCGAGCGAAAAAAAACCGATGTGTTACTAATCCAATTTTCAAAAAAAACCGACAGTCAATGATAATGATATGTTGTTCGATAGTGGAGGTTTTGCGTGTACTCTTTTCAGGTATGTTATCTCATATATAATGATGATGAGAAGAGAAAAAATCTACATATTTTTTTCCTCTCTCTCTCTCACTCTTTCTCTCTCTTTCTCTTTCTCTTTCTCTTTCTCTTTCTCTCTCTCTCTCTCTACATTTTATTTTGTAGTTTCTCTCTTTGCTTCATTTCTCTTTATCCCTTAGTACAATTATGAAATTTGGCTTTAGGCATACGCGCGTTGTTCATATTCATATGTGATTTAAATGAAAAGAGAAAGTACATTCACCTTTCTATTTATAAAATTTCAGCAACTTTAAGATAGCCATAATGGAACTGATGAATAACAAACAAAACGGTACTCTTTTTCAAGCGGAACTAGTTGTTTTTTTGTTTTGTTTTTAAATAAAACTGTCAAACGGATTGATTTAACGACAAACTCAATAAATGAGTTAATTAATCAAATTATTCATTCACCACATGGTTACACGTTAATTATAAACTAACTGTTTAAACAGAAAATTTCCAATCCTCCCTGATCCCATGAATCCCGTGACACCATGAATCCCATGACCCCTGAATGGGTCATTTAAAATTTTAGTGAATGTAACTAATTCCGTTTGATCGACTACTACTGTCGATATACTTAATCTTCTACATATAGTTTATGACTTGTTATTGATTTTTTCATTTCCGTTTTTTTCTCATGCTCAGGACAAAGATAAAGTTGAACAATTTGCTAATTTTTTCTGATCTGGTAGATTCCTTAGTTTTGTGCATTAGAGATGTAACGCACTTTGTTGCATGATATTAACTGAAAATTATATGAACAAACATTTTTAACACAATAATGTGATTTCCGATTCATTAAAGATATATATTATAGTACTCAGTATGTTTTAACCTTTCTACTTACCTATTCTTTTTCCAGTCAAACTTTAGATTCGTATAAATAATATCGCAATTCACCATTGACATTTTTTTCATTTTAACGAAACAAAAAAACAAATGGAAACTGCAATAATTGAAGAAAACATGCCATTAAATTATTTCGTAATTCTAAAAAATAAAATAGAAAACGAAAATGTCATCGTGCACGGTATGATATTTTTTTTTTCGTATAAAATTGATGAGTAACAGCTGTCGATGAATTTCCATGTTCATAGCCTACGCGAAAATTATAGTGTTTTTTTTTTTTTTGTTCCGTCAGCAATTTGAACCATCCCATCATTCAAATAAAAAAATTGAACATTTGGTACTCACACTATTCTCTCATTCATTATTCATTTCTGATCTTGATTAGTAAATGTCTACCGATACATGCATTCATTTAGCGTGTACAAGATCAATTAAAAAACGAGAATAAAACGTGTTTTTACGAGGATGCACCTGCAAATATGTCTCATCTGTCGTCTATATCTAGTTTTAAGTAGAATGGACGGACAACATGGGTCATATCTCGTTTCTGAGCAGATTAATGATGCGACGTTGTGAGACAGCATTTTAGTTGTACAGTTCAACAGACTTTGAACATCTTTTTTTATCAAAGGAGAAGAATGATCACAATGCATACTGTACAAATGTACAGCTTAGAACCTTTTATAAAGATTAGAAAATAAATCCGTTTTTTCTGATATGATGTCATTTGCGGAATTTCAAAATAAATATACGGGGAATAAAACAGTATGTTGTAAACGTGTCAGAATAAATTATCTGAGTAAAAACGTGTTTTTGTGCAAGGTTTCTTTGCCGTCATACGCTGATAATATGTTTTTTATTTTGTAGTTCCTCTGAATTACTATTCAAAATGTCTTTCGCGTATCTTACTCTTCCTCAGCTAACTCGATTCTTATAAACTGTGAGTGAAGTTCATTTAATATTCTTCTGTTGTAAAATTAATCAATTAAAATAAACACGATACATCTAAAAAGAACAGAAAAAATGACGTTATAACAAGTTCGAAAAGACCACCCGCCTGTCACAAACAAACAAGAAGGTGCAAAGATCATGAAGAAAAAAAAATGAACAGTAAAGACGGAAATTATAAACAAATCATTTTAAATAGAATCAGTAGAAATTAACTTCAGACATAGAAGACTGAGAGATAAACTGTAATCGTTCTTTTAAGAAGAAACCGATCATACATATGATGAAAAGGATGACTTTATATGCGAGTGACTTATGGCAAACATAAGACTTTCTTAAACATGCTTCGTTGTCCTCTTCGAAATTTCAAAGAGAATGCGGTATAGTGACGGTCCTTTTTTTTTGTCGTAAAACGAATTCAAGGGAGTGAACTTATAAAACACTAAACTGGAATATCCGTCTTCGATCGGAGTATCTCTTCGCTACAGTATTCATTCTATCTTCTAATTGAGTGATTAGAACAGAAACAAAGATTAAAGACTAAACGATTTGATTAAAAATATAAAAAGATTGATGAATTGTTACTAAGCGGCAGTAATTCGACAGTAGTGGAGAGCACTTTGGTGTAAAGTAGAGAAATAAAACAGCAAGTGCCAGATCCAATATGACAACCTGTGAAAACTATACGCTATTACAATAGCAACTAGAGTTAACGTGAAGAATTGAAGTTTCAACTTTCACAACTTTGACCCGAAATCTTGACTCCTCAGTGAGCATGAGTGTAATCGACAAAAAATCTAAATATGACTTCACTCTAACTTCATAGGTTTTTCTCTGATTCTGTTGGAACAAGTACCATGAACTTTTTATTTAACTTTCACTCATAGTGAACTTCTGTTTGTGTTTCGGAGATAAAGATTTTTATTACACAAGTTCAGGAAAAAAATCTGTAGCTTCATGTACACACAGTTATAATTCAATCTTCAAGACAGAATGAGAGTAAAAAGCTTATCCAGATATTCTATGAGAAAGTTGAATTTCATAAAG